AACAACCTATTGTTAGTGATTTAAAGAAATTAAATACATAATTTTACCGTATTATCATAATGATGTATGTATTGAAATTAATCTTTTTTAATAAGTTAATATAAATAAGAATTAAGAAATACAACATTTGCATTATATTAAGGAAAATTTCATTCTCTAGTCTAGTTTAGTTAGGTTTAGTTGATCTAATTTATAAATACTTATTTTTACATCAAATCTAATTGTCTTGTATTATTTTCAGTTATAATGCATTTTATTTATCGTTTTTTTAACTGGTGCTGTTCAATGCGTCTTAAAATGAATACCAAAAACTAATAAGTGTCCGATACAATATCATATCATATCATGGGATAAATTTAATGTTTAAAAAGACGTAAATTGGTCAATAACTGCAACAGAAGTTTTATATTCTGGCAAAAAATATTAGTATCAGAAGGAAAATAAAAATGTGATACTGGATTTGTAAGAACAAAACAATGTTTAGAAAAGTATCATTTGAAAATGGCAATTTTTTTTTCCAGTTATATTTTTTATTGGGTGTATGTTTGTTTAACTATAGTCTTATCCAGGATCTAATTTAAAGTATTGGCCAAAATATGCTATAGCATTTCTGTAGCAAACGAATATCATTGCCCTAAAGATTTTATTGCACTCAGTGCTGGTTATCACAGTAAGAATGGAAAGATGAAGGATGGTAAAATGAAGGTAGTACAATAACACTACATGAAAGTTATATCATCAAAGTATGTCATCCACTGGAAATGAGCAATAGCACACAACGCTAAAATCAACATACTTGACAACGACCTGGTAAAGGTGATAATGAATATATCTCCATTGAACAATGAGGAAGAGAAACACAGACATATACAACATTACACACATAATTTATTCTAGCGAGTAAAAAACGAAAGAAGTGTACATCAAATCTAAAACACGATTTGAACATGACAGAAAAGGCATAACTCAACTTCTTGACCAAAAGAATGGAATAAAGAAGAATGAGATAGACAGAAATAAACCGCTATTCGAACACGGAGGATTCGAAACCTTTTTCTTTGTGGATGCAGTCCACTCGCAACACAATGTATCCATTGTGTGCTAGAAATGATTTTTTCCTCTGCTAAACAACTACAACTGAACTGTAAAAAGAGAGACGTTGTATAAGAAATGCAATGCACCTCGTGTACGGACAACAGAGGAAAATACATTGGAAAGGCATTAAAAGGGAATAGAAGAACATCATTAGAAAAATAAGAAATCTTCATCAATTCACCATCAACATTTTAACGATCACCACGGGGGAAAAGAACTTAATTTATACAAGTAAAAGTGTTGAGCATGAATCCAGGGGATCCAATTATTACGTAAAATTAACAAAGCAGTACGCACTAAAAAAAAAAAAAAACGGGGGCTCAACATACAAGTAAAAGTGTTGAGCACGAACCCAGGGGATCCAATAATACGTCAATTTAACGAAGCAGTACGCACTAAAGAAAACAACTCGGGCCTCAACATTAAAGACGAATGAGAAAACAAAAATCTTCAAAGGAGAAAAAACACCAAAGGGTAACGCCACAGGATACACTATGTACTCTCATCTAAATTTATTAAGTGGTAGTTTTATATTTGTATGTTTGTTTCCTTATTCACCATTAATTAAAAAAAAACAAAAAAAAAAAACATTCGGTCTAAATCAAACATTCTATAATACTTTGTAAATGTCTTGTAATAGAATGATTAAATTTTTTGCGGCGATCCGCAGTATGGTGTGGATCTGAAGACAATTTAAAGGAAGACGTCCCAGACCACATATTTTCAAAACGGATCATTTGATCTGATTCAAACATTCGGAAAACGTGTAACATGCTACAAGAAAGAATATATTATGTGCTGGCGACAAACTAGCCAAGGGTGTAAATGGGAGGGTCATTTCAATTTTGAGGACCCAGACCTAAATATCTCTTTAAAAAATGGAATAATTTAAACCTTATATATCAGTTTGACAAGATCGAGTAAAGAAATGTTTTCGTGACGATACAGAGTAGGGTGTAGATCTCTGAGGAACATTGAAAGGAAAACGTCCAAGACCACGTATTTCGAAAACGGATTTACTGATCCAAATGAAACATTCGGAAAAAGTTTAACCAAGTTACATGAAAGATGGTATTATGTGTTGTCGATTAATCAGTCAATGGTGTACATTGGAGTGTCATTTATATTTAAAATCCCAGACTTAAATGTCTATAAAAGTTTTCAATGGGTGTGAAAGTAACTTTCTATAACAGCTTGTAAAGGTCCAGCAAAGAAATGACTGATATTTTGTTATGATCCGGCGTAGGGTGTAAATATGAGGATCATGTAAAGAAGGAAAACGTCCGAGAAAAGATATTTCAAAAACGGGTCAACCGATCCGAATAAAACTTTCAGGAAAGTTACAAGAAAGATTTTATTATGTGTAGAGGACGATCCAGGTTAGGGTGAAAATTTGAGGGTCATTTAAATTGCTTGCGTCCCAGCTTTAGATGATGGATAAAAATGATGTAGAATAGTTTTTCATGGTGAAATGAAGAAAAGATGCAATTTTTGTGTGGCGATTCGCAGTAGGGTGTGGATATGAGGACCATTTAAAGATTTTTTGTTGACAGTTGATTGAATTATTTAAACGCAATTTGCGTTTTCTAATTGCGTTTAAATCAGTCAGTTACAGCTAGGTTAAACTCAAAACTATCGTGATATGCATGAAGAATGTTTGCTTTCAGTAATTGAATCGCTATGAACTAAAAATGCACTTTCCAATACAAGGTTGGCCCATATAGCGCGCAATGGTTATGGGTCACGATGTACCTCGCCATAGTTCAAGTCTCACTAATAAAGTCGCAGTGAACTTTTTTTTCCCACTTCATTTTCTCCACTCAATTAAAATTATATTGGTTTTCTGTGTTTTTTTTTTTTTACTTTATACCTTTTAACGACTTTTCTTTTTGTTGCAATTTCAACTTCATTTCTCATTAAAGCAATAGGAAATACCCTATGTTCTGTTTTTCAAACAGACATAGTAAGTCTAGCTGTTATTGTTATTGCTATTATTATTATTATTATTATTATTATTATTGTTGTTGTCATCATCATTATTATTATAATTCTGTGTTTTATTGTTATTATTATTATTATTATTATTATTATTGTTGTTGTTGTCATCATCTTCATTATTATTATCATTAGTATTATTATTATTATTATTATTGTTGTTGTTATTATTATTATTATTATTATTCTTACTATTATTATTATTATTATTATTATTATTATTATTATTATTATTATTATTATTATTTATTATTTTTATTATTATTTACTCCGTCCAAGGAACATGGACGGATACTACATTAATGCAGAAGACTGTAGCGGGAAATAACGAAATAGTGCATACACCAAATTAAGGCAATTTAATGGATCATAGAGAGGTTTATTTGTACACTTCTATAATTAATTTGAATAAGTCGCCTAGTCCTATGCTAATCCAATATCCGAAAACAATTTTTTTTTCAATATTTAATGAAGCATCACATTAGTTTTTAGCCTCAGGTGCATATGGTCTATCCATATATAATAATGACTACTCTTGACTCACAGAAGCAGGCGTACACGAATTATGGCCTATTGATTAGAATCCAAAAATAAATATAAGTATTATAGCAGGGATAGATTGGGAATCATACGTGTCAATTATAACTAAACATTATGTGACAGGCCTAAAAATGGTCATGATGACATACCATATATAGATACATCATGACAATGCAAAATAGCTTTATTGTTATGATCACAAAACAAGGCGAACATAAAAGTCTGTTTATTTGGTGCTTAGCTACACAAATAATACAAATTGAAATAAATAAAATACAAAGATTTGTTGCACTTAATAAAATAAAATATTTTGTACATGAAAGACTGACCAAAAAATAAGGAGGAGGATATATAGGAGGAGGAGAGGGAAGGCACCATGTTTGGAGTCTGCTACGTAATTTCTGTTTCATTAGAATCGGATCGGATACTAATTTCTCAGGAGTACCATGTTCGGCAAATATTTGTCTCAGTAATTTTTATATACTTAAGTCAATCCATTGAGAATGACTATCAATCAAAATTTTAAAAAATATTGCCATTCTTTCCTGACAAATTTAGTAACATGTACTCTCTGAAATGGCCTACTAGTGCTACGTAGAATATTTCTCATACTCTGACAAGTGTTGCATCTTTTAACTAACACTTCTATATTTTAGTCTAATTTGTGCCACCACACGTATGACCTGGCAATAGCTTACATATCACATATTTTGGTATGTTCCAAATGCATTACATTAATTATTTTACTACTGTTGTATGGATTGCAAACATGGCTCCCCAAAGTAAGCAATTATTGTCTCACACGATAGCTCAATTTTTGTGTACATAATGGTTTTACATCATCAATAAAATTATTAACATTTGGCTATCCATATTTCATATAATTCAGTACTTTACATAACACAGTGTCTGTAAGTGTTTCTTTCGTTGCAGTTATTGGCAAAATCGTCTTTAATTACTGTAATATGTTAAATATCCTTTGCCCTAGATCACAATCATCGCTTTTTGGTAGTAATCGCGACAAGGCATGCCACTGCATCTCGATTGAATGAATGTACTGTATGTTGTAATCATACTGGCCAAGTAAGAGAGATTATCGTTGGATGCGTCCTGCAGCCACTACAGGGACTTTGTTAGTCGGACCAAATATCTTCAGAGTTGTTTGAAGTCTGCGGTAATGGTAAACTTTCTTCCCATGAGATATTTGTAGAACCGCATAATCTCGTACCATAATGTCCAAGACGCGTAATGTACAGGCACTTCTGCCCCATTGTCCATGACATGCATTATCACCGCTAATATGGCATATTTGCTGGCGTCGAAAGCCAGTATCAAGCTACTCTCAGTGTCATAATGTGTAAGCCACTTACCGCTAATCAGTTGTTCTTTACACCAGTCGAATATATTAAACCATAGGTTGATTTCTGTAAGAAGCCTGGTTTTCAAGTTTTTCAGTCCACCCCTTGCAATCTACATGATATTAAATGTAAAAGAAGATTTGAAGGATGGTGAGTACAAAAAACAATGTTGCCGGGCCCAAAAATTGCACGTTAAGGTTTAAAATGAAAAATTGCTACGAAGGGAGCCCTCTATTTTAGAAAAAATATAAATAATTATTTTTATCAATAATATCAAGTAGTTGTGGTATTAAAAGAACATAATAAACATTACATTTATTTAACTTTGATTGTTGGTATATGTGTTATACCCTTAAGGGGTCAATTAAGGCGTTTTTTCCTTCCGTAGTCCTATGAATTGCTATGGTTTAACAATCTAGATACAACGGTATACAGCATGTTCGGTTATTTATGCGTGATTTCTTGTTGCTGTTTTTAGTTTTTAATATAGTCATAGCAGGGCCACCACGTGCTGGTAAACAGCATGACCCCATAATGTAGGGGTTAATGTATGCATGAAAATACAAAGGCTCTAAGATGCGAAAACACTGATCCCTTCATATTATAGGCATTTTAAAACTATGGATAAACAAGTCACAAGTAAATACAAGTGGATTAAAAAGACATGCCAATTTCATATAAATACAGTTTATGTTTTAAGACACTATTGTGTAGGGGATAATGCATGCATGGACGTACAAAGGCTCTAACATGCAAACACATTGATCCATTCATATTATAGGCAATTTAAAACAACATATAAATATCTTGAGGATATTTCCCGCACGATTAAAATCGTAATGGTACTGGGTTTGGTCTACAATAGCTAACGACAGGACGTAGGCTTCTCCAATATAAAGGCTTTTTCTATGAATGGAATGACCTGTATGAAACACGAACTCCTGTAGACCAAACCAGTACCGTTACGATTTTAATCGTGTGGGAAATATCCTCAAGATGCAATCAGACTGTGACCTCAGGCATTTTTCTCCCATTCAAAAGCTACACCCTAAATTATTAACCTATATTTTCCTATTTTTTAAACCTACCTATAATGCTACTGTATATTCTACCATAATACTGTCTTATTTTTTACTCTTATATACTATCTACTATGTACATATAGATTATAATATTTTAATAGTAATAATCAATTTATCAAGTAATTTAGATCATTATTTATTAAATAAATGATTAAAAAACGAAATTATTTTTATACAATCATTAAAATTTAACGTAGGCCTATTTTTCATGCGTTTCAGTAAGGAGATGGTGATGCGTACATACATAATAATACGTAAAAATACAGGACAAAATTACATGCGTTATCTACACCCGCTAATTTTCAAACAGACGGAAAAGAACTTTCATCATAGCAGAACAACAAAACCATATACACATACGGCAACGCACTAGACATGATAATGTTCATGCAATCATAGTGTACATAAACGTAATTACAGGTAAGACAATTTTGTTTTAGTTTGTTTCCTAAACATTAATTTATTTCATATACCTTCTCTGTTTTTGTTAATCATAATATAACCATCAATTTTAAGGAGGTCTGTGTAATTATTTTTATTAATCCAGGTTTCTGAGAATCCCAATATGCTAAACTGATGTCCCGTATTCGACAAAAGAGAAGATATATTATTAAAATGTAAAGGCAGACTTCTCGCATTTAAATGGAACAAAGAAAAATTGTTGCTATTAAAATTACGTAAGTGTGAAATTTCAGCAGGTGAAACATATGTGTTATTTGTAATCTCGCCATGATGAGAACGCACCCAGTGGATAATATGATGTTAATTACAAAAGTGAATGCCAAAAAAGAAAAAGAAAAAAGATGAAGTATCAATTTCAAACAAGTAAAGTAAGAGAAACGAACAATACACAAAACTATCAAAAATTCGTCAGATCGAAAAATGATTAAGTAAATTAAGCACTGTCATCATTTACAGTAATGCTTAATGTTCTCTTAAGTTTTAAACTATCAGTCTCTTTAGTAATAACTGTTCTCTTATCTTGAGTATTTAACACATGTATTATTCCATCCTGAATCCATGTTGCCTTGATTTTTAGACAAAACTTCCGTTTAATCTTCTTTAGTATGTTTGATCGTTTAAGTGTTAAATTTTCATAAATGATGTAAGGAGACTTTTTCAGGTGTTTTTTTGGCTCTAAAAACCTCCTGCCGTTTATTATAGTTGCTACATTTTATTTTAATGCCCCTGGGGCCACTACATTGCCTCGGTGGGCCAAGTCTGTGGCTTCTATCAATGTCTTTAGGAAGGACATTGACAGCTAGTTTATTAGAGACTGATTACCTAATAATCCGTGTTCTTATCAGATTATCCAGGAACACCATATTATTGTTATTCTTCTAGAATATTGTTCAGATTCATCAGAAAACCATCTTCCATTTTCTGAAGTTTGTCTTCCAGCACTTTTATGCGATCATTTTGATGTTATATTTCAAGTTGAAACTGTCGATCGTAGCTTCAGTTATTAACTCAGTAAGATCAGAAGAAAGTTGTGTTTTTATCATAGATGTTACCTTAGTAGCAATACCAGACAGCAAATCAGAATTTTCTTCGAAGAATGCTTGTATTTGTGTACGTATTATGTCCGCAATGTCTGTATCAACCAAGCCGGTATTTACTTCGATCGATTTGGAATTCGCGCAATGTGACTTGAGGATATCAGGGCTGTCAGCTGGCTGTACCTTCTTTCCTATAGTTGTCTTTTCCATGGCTTGGATTAGCTTAAGCAAATATGTGATAAAAACGTAATAAAATTCAGATAAAATGTACCAGTATTGTACAAATAATGATGTAATAATAATGATCAACACTGCGATTTTCTCATATTTACAAACAATAGGATCTGTATATCTACAGTATAATCAAAATAATATAGAAATACAAATAATATTTGGGTTGATTATGTTGTGCTTATAGATAAGACTTATTCTTTCCAAACAGCGTTGTCTACAAATATCCGTTAGTACCACTGCCAGGTTTACTTTCATTGATCAGATAATATATATTATAATAATTACCTCACGAATGAGAGTGTTTATTAATAATAATAATAATAATAATAATAATAATAATAATAATAATAATAATAATAATAATAATAGTGTAGTTACTACATCTCTTGTCTATTTCGGTAATTTCCTACTTAATAAGCAATTAGTAGAGTTCCGCATAGTATACTATAGGAAAATTATTGTACAAAGGTAACTTTCTTCGGGTTCTAATTAAGCTTGTTTCACGAAAGTAATTTTCAATTACAATTGAATTTTTATCGCGGTGCGCGATGTATTCGCGGTGACAAAAAATGAGGTGTTTTTTTTTGCACACGAACCTAAAAAAAAAAATAAGCCAAGCGTCTACTAATAGAAAAATTAGTGGACGCTGGGGAATAGGCAAATAACATTGGGAGTTAACGTGATAACATCACGATTGACTTATAATACACTTTATTTCTTTAAAAAATATTCTCTGTCTCCATTATCTCTAATAATAGTGCTTGCAAGTTCCTCATGTTGGCGTTCATTTTAGTTAGGATACTGATTAAGCCATCTGTACGTTTGATATGCGAGACACCTGTAATTCAAGCAGGCAGAAGGTAAACTAGATAAGTATTCTCAGTTTTCCCTTACTGATAATTCCTGATTCTCTATATGTCTAGCAGACTTTCTTTTACATTATAGTGGCCTAGTGTGTACTGTGTATTTAGCTTTTTGCACCACAAAATCGGTTTTAATTACTAATTTTCTCTGGAGCTCATACAATGCACGTCCCTATCTGACGAACATCGCCATTGATGTTCCCTTCCTTGGTTAACATAGTGACCACGTGTGCTTAGTGGAGCATAACACACAACGTCCGCGTCCTCTGAGTGGCCAATTTCCTCGTGCTACCCACGTCTATGGTTAGCCATCAGGGCCATAATGAAAACGCCGTCATCTTCATAAAAAGCGCCGTAATGCTATTCATTTTCAACCAATCACAGGTTTAGTATGACATGACGCCAACAGGGTCATAATGAAAGGGCCGTTAACTTGTTAAAAAAAACGCCATGATCATAATGAAAGCGCCGTAATCATAATGAAAGCGCCGTAATCATAATAAAAACACCGTAATCATAATTAAAGCGCCGTCATGCCTTTCTTTTTCAACCAATTACAGGCTTAGAATGACGCCAACAGGGTCATAATAATTACCACGTTAACTTGTTCGATAAAAGCTTGTTCGTAATCATATAAAAAAGCGCCGTAATCATATAAAAAAGCGCCGTTATGTTGTTCATTTTACAACCAATCACATGCTTAGAATGACGACACCAGGGTCATAATTGATTACGGCGTTAAATTGTTCAATAAAAAGCTCCGTCAAAATTAGAAAAAAAGCCGCTTTGAGTAGCTGGCGCAAGGGTCACACTTTTAGCCAATCACATTCCGTCTTTCGCAGCAGTCGGCGGATCGGAGGATCCTAGGAGCGAAAGCATCCAGGGGGCGAAGGAGGGAGTCGGAGTGTGCAGGGTTATGGTCTGATTTCTACCGGTTTTTATTCATCTTTTTTATAGGCCTAGCGAAGGTCTCTCCATTCACTCACTGTAAGTACTATTATTAATTATCTAGCCTACCTAGTAGTAGGCCTTTATAGGCCTAGCCTAGTAAGCCTAAGAAATAAAAGGCCCTGGGAGACGGGAGAAGTGTTCAGGTCTGTTTTTGTTTAATTCTTTTTTAGGCGGAGGTCTACTAGTAGTATGACTATTAGGCTAGGCCTAGGCCTGCTTTTTGGGGCCTCTCTCTGACTACTAGATAGTACTAGCCTAGGCTATTCCTAGGGCCTACTTAATTATTAATATATTATTGTTATTAATAATGTAATGGACTAGTGATAATGATCCATTGTGAACATAATTGTCTAATGCAGCCTTACAAGCTACAGTGGTCTGCACTTTCCAAAACAAAAACATTCAATATCCGTTATGAAAAAATACCACACTGAGACACCTTTGTACAGTACCTTTCACACTTCCATAGGACACCTTGTGTTTGAACTTTGTTGAATAAAGAGTTTATCTACCGCAACCTACAGAGTTTTGATTGTTTAATTTTAATTTAATAGCATGAGTTATTTCAC